AGATGAGGGGCACTGTTGGGAGAACCGTATATATATATATATATATATATATATATATATATATATTATATATACATATACATATATGCGGCTGCCTGCGGCAAGCCCTGCCAACGTGCCGGCTCAGCAGCAGAGCGGGAAGGAGGTTGAGTCCAAGATCTTCCCGAGTTCAGTGCTTTGGTTGAACTGTCGCGCATCTTGAGCGCCCGCAGCTTGTCCGCAGCTGCGTTCTCCTCTCCCTTCCTCCTTCCTCCTCCCTCTCCTCTCCCCTGCCTCCCTCTTCCCTCCTGAGGGCGTCTTGGAGTGTGCGTATGGGGCCTCTTGGGGGCCTCTTGGGGCCCTCCTGAGGGCTCAATTGAATCTGTTGCGGGATCTCGTGGCCGTTTTGACCGCAATGGTACTGCCGAGCTCTCCCGAGAAGGCTCGCTCGAACCTTCCTTAAGACGCCTGGGCGGGCCTTGAGGCAGTCTTCGAGCCCTCCTGGCGCCGTCTTGCCGAGGTCCTGGGCGGTCTTCAGGAGGGAAAGAGACACACAGACACAATTCATCTGCGAGTTCCAAGAGAATATGGGAAAATATGGGAAGTGGGGGGGAAGATGAGAGAACCCAGAGAATATGGACAACATGGGGAATTCTTCGATCTGTGTGTATTTAATATGTGTGCCCCGGGGCCCCTTCGAGTCTCCCGGCCGTCCGCGGGCTCTCTTGGCCACGCGCAGCCCCCCATGCACGTGGGCAGTGCGCCAGCCCGGGCTTCGCCCACCCAAACCACCCCAAACCCAGCCCGAAGGCCCCGATTCGGCTCTCCATCTCCAGGCGGGGGGGGGTCACCGCCCACCCAAACCACCCAAAACCCAACCCGAAGGCCCCGATTCGGCTCTCCATCTCCAGAGGGGGGGGGGGGTGTCTGGGAACCCAAGAAAAACGCGTGCGGAACCCGTACCCCCCCCAAGCCGAGACTCTGGCAGAGTTCGGGTCTTCGGGTTGGGATTGGGGTGGTCCGGTACGGTAGGTTCGTGTCGTGTCGACCAGCGGCGACCCCGCCGCCGGAGTTCAACGTTGAACGCCGACGGCGACCCAGAATCGATCGATGTTCAACGATGTGGCGTTTCGCAAACGGCCGATCGTTCAAGGTTGAACGATTCCCGCGGTGTCAAAAACCAACGCTGGGGTCGGCACGACACGAACCTGCCGTAGTCCAGTAGGCAGTCGGCCTGGGCTTCGCGCCGCCCGCACTCGTGCACGGGCGGTGTTCCTCTCTCTCGGGTGCTCGCCGGGCGGCGCGGGGCGGCTCCCTGGGCGCTCCGAGGACTCTCTGGTCTCGCCAGGCTCTGGCCTCGGCGGCCAAGACGCCTCCAAGCTGCCCCAGCAGGGCTCCGAGGGGACCCCGTAGAGTGCTCCAAGATCGGGCGACGAAATCTATACATATCCACTGCTCCCTGACCATGCCCATCTTGAACCCAGGAGCTGTGTATGCGCCCTCCTGGCCAAGCCAGGAGGGCGTGGCGTATACACCGCTGCGGGGTTGAGGATGGGCCTGGCCTGGGAGCAGTGGACATGTATAGATTTCGTCGCCCTACCAAGAGGCCCAGCTCTCTAACATTCCTTTGGCTCGTGCTGTACATCGCGCATGCGTGGCGAACATGCCCTTGGCCACGAAGCGCTGTACTTGGTGGGGGGAGGGACGCAAGCTTGGGACCTTCGGTGGAGCTCCTTCTGGGGCCACGAAGCCCTGTACTGGGTGGGGGGGCGCATGAGGACTGCGCCACTGGGACATTGGGTGGAGCTCCCTATGGGCCAAGAAAGACCGTACTGGGTGGTGGGGACTCATTCGAACTGCGCCACCTGGGACCTTCGGTGGAGCTCCCTGTGGGGCCACGAAGCGCTGTACTGTGTGGGGTGGACGCATGCGGACTGTGCCACTGGGACCTTCGGTGGAGCTTCCAATGGGGCCACGAAACGCTGTATTGGGCGGGGCGACGCATGCGAACTGCGCCACCTGGGACCTTCGGTGGAGCTCCCTAGGGGGCCACGAAGCGTTGTACTGGGCGGGGAGGACGCATGCGATCTGCGCCACTGGGACCTTCGGTGGAGCTCCCAATGGGGCCACGAACCTCTGTGCTGGGCTGGGGGGACGCATGCGAACTGTGGAGGATGGAGGGAGGAGGAGGGGGATGAGGAAGGAGGAGACGCGGGGCGCTGTCTTTTCAAAGCGAGGACCCAACACCACAGGATGGTTGGGGAACAGCATTTCGCCTGAGACATCCTCACACAGCTGATATGTTCGCAACATCATCTTTCACAAAATAAGCGTTTCGCTCGAGATACCCTCCAGCACACGAGGGCGATGTTTTTCGATGTGCGTAAGCAGTGGGCGTTTCGCTTGAGACATCCTCGTCACACTACTCCAGATTTCGTAATAAAGGGAGGGGGGTCTCATTTCGGGGGGGGGTCTCTTCCAGGCTATCTTGGAGGGCCTGGGGGGGTCTGGGGACGGTGTTTTGGAGGGTTCTCCCACGGGGGGGGGGTCTGAAATGGCCTGTCTTGGAGGGCCCAGACCCCCCCGAAATGAGACCCCCTCCCTTTATTACGAAATCTGGAGTACCTGTTATGCTAAAGAATGGCGTTTTCGCCAGGGACATCCTCAGACTGAGCAGGAGCACGGCGGGCCAGCACGAAGCTGCACGCCAGACTGGGCCCCATTTCGCTGGGGACATCCTAACAGTAACGACATGGACTCACTATCGTCTTGATATCGTTCTTGAAGTTCCTCAATCTGATGAGACAAAGGGCTCGCAGTCTTGATATCGTTCTTGAAGTTCCTCAATCTGATGAGACAAAGGGCTCCCACATGACCCCAAGATGGCTCCAAGAGCGCCCAGGAGACTGCCGACAGTGGCGATTTCGCTAGGGACATCCTCAAGCAATAAGATAATGATACCATCTGTTCGACACATGTTGGTCTAAGGTCGCCTTTGATTCGCTATCGCAAAAGCGTCAAGACGGCCCAAACTATCCTTCTAGCAATTGCGATTTCGATCGTGACATCCTCAAATAACGTACATGTCCAACATCGCATCGTATTGATTTTGAGGGCATCAAAGGCTGCCCCAAAGAGCCCACCACGAGCACCAAGATGACCCAACGAGCGCCTTCAAGACGGCCGAGGATGACGATTTCGCCAGGGACATCCTCACCAAACTGAGAGTTTCCCAGCATCGGCGTTTGCAAACACAAGCGTTTCGCCTGAGACATCCTCCCGATTTGGGAAGTCGCGAATTTTCCATATTTTCGAAAATGAGCGTTTCGCCTGAGATATCCTCGCCGAAGCAAGTATGTCGACAGGGGTGGTTTACTAGTTCTTGAGTTGAAGACGACGCTCTCGCTCGGGACACCCTCAGAAAATGGAGACGAGCACGGCAGACCAATTTAGCTGCATGTTTGACGTCATTTCTAAATGTGGCCATTTCGTTAGGGACATCCTGGCACAACTGGTATGTTCACAGCATCGCTTTCATATCGTTACTGGCGTAGCTCAAGACGAACACATAATAATCCAACCAGGACCCCAAGATGGCTCCAACATTGCCTTGAAGACTGCCGAACATGGCGATTGCTTTAGGGACATCCTCAAACAAACGGGATTTCGGCAAACCAAACGAACACGGCAGAGCGCACAAAAGCACAGCATAGTAGGTTTTCAGCATCGTTTTGGTATCGTTTTCGGAGTGCTTCAGGGTGATGAAAACGGAGCTCCCACATGACCCACGATGGCTCCAAGAGCGCCCTGGCGACGGCCGAAATGGCGATTTTTCGCTGGGGGGCCCCGCAGGCCAGCACGGCTGGCGCCGAGGTGGACCTCATCCACAAGGCAGGGCCCTCGGCCAGCACGTTCATCCTCCCGCTATGTCGACATTTGCTCGCTTGGAGTAGGGCTCCAAGAGCATGGAATGACCTTCACAATCCGCGTCACCCGAATCCGGGCCATTGCAGGTTTCTGTTCTCACGGCCTCACGGCCCTGCGGTCGCCTTCGTTCGGATAGCCCCCCTGGAGGGGCATCGGATTCCTCTTTCTCCCCCGCCTGTTTTGCGTGAACAAAAAAATTGATCCGGGGGCGCGCGGCGACGGGCATCGCGGGCGGCGAGCTGCAGTGCTGGAGGCTCGCGGCTGCCCGCAGCGCCGGGAGCCTGCCGCACGGGGCCGCCCTGGGCCTGCGGCTATGCGCTGCTGCCAGCCCCGGCGACGCCCGCGGCCTGGGCCCCGCCGTGCCCGCCGCGGGAGCCACGGTCCAGATGCTCCTCCTCCTCCTCCTCCTCCTCCTCCTCCTCCTCCTCCTCCTCCTCCTCCTCCTCCTCCTCTTGGCGGCGCTGCCGCAGTCGGGAGAGCTGCCCCTGCGCATGCTTGGCCGAGGCCTGGATGCCGCTGCCGCCCGGCACGCCGAGGCCGTCTCCGCCGTGGGTGCACTGCGCGCCCCCAGTCGATGCGGCAGCGTTCGCCATGGCGCTTCGAGTCCGAGCGGATCCTCGTCGCCGACCGGGGCGACGAGCTGGCCCGCGCGCTCCTCGGCCCCCGCGAGCTCGGCGTGGAGGCGGCCCTTGAGACCAGGCGCGCTTCGGACCGCCACGAGATGAGCCAGCTGGCGCATGGCAGCTTCTGGCATGGGTCCTTCTGTTGGGATGCCATAGCGTCGATGCTGGGGCCTGGCGGGGACTTGGGCGAGCGACGGCGGCGCGCGCAGATCGCCTGCATCCCCAATGTGCGCTGGACGCAGGCCGGGCTCTACGACGCGGGGGGGCGCAGTCACTCGTGATGCTGTTGCTGCGGAGTAGAGCGTGGCACGCTCTGGCACCGCCTCTTCGCGCGCCCCGTCCTGGCGGCCCAGCGGGGGGACGGCGTCTCGCCGCGCCTGCAGCACTGAGCCGAGCGAGTCCGCGCGCGAGGCGAGGCAGCAGGAGAGAACTTCGTGCGGTGCTGGCTGTCTGCCCCCCCCGCCGCCGCAGGGCTTCCGCGCCGATGCCGTGGGCGTGTGGTGGATGCGCAGGCCTCCAGAAGATAATCTCCACGGGAAGCTATACCTGGACGCTACGGCTGTGGAGCCCAGCTGTGGCTCCCTGCGCCGCGCAGGGTGGTCCATGGTACAAGGCGATGATAGCGGCAACCTGATATCGGGAGTCTACGGCTCGGTCAGGCGCGACCTCTGCCCCCGGCAGACGGCCGAGGGCGGCGAGGACCTCGCGGTATGGATGCGGCTCAATTATGCTGGGCCAGTGGTGGAGGAGGTCAATGCCGACTGCAGCTTCATTGTTTCCTGCATCAGGAAGGGGCGCGCGCATGCCGCGGCGCCCGACATTCCCGACGCGCACCTCTGGGGCAGGATCCACGCCGCCTTCGAGCCAGGGGCCTTCGCCGTGCGGAAGGTGCCAGCACGCTGCAGCAGGCGGGCGGCGCTGGGTGGGCCCCTCGCTAGAGCTCAGCGCCGAGGCAAAGAGTGCGCCGACCGCCTCGCCAAGCTGGGCGCCAGGCTCCGCGCGGTGGGCGACCCGGCCATGGGCGAGCGCCGCGCGCCGGCGGAGGTGGTCCACGAGCTGGCACGCTGGATCGGGCAGGCCACAGTCATCTGGCAGGGGGTCGCCGCCAAGGACAGCGAGGGCCCACCTGGCGCCGAAGAGTGCCGCCGAGTGCGGTTCGAGGAGCCCTCTCCGCCGCGGCTGCCTGGGCGACGGGGTTCTGGCGGGCCCGAGGCCAAGTGGCCGCGCCTCGCGAGCGCTCGCGCCGCGGCCAAGGGCTGCGCGGCAGCAGTCGGCGCGGGCGCGGTGGCCTTCTGCATCCTTTGCGGTTAGCGGCGATGGCGGCGGCGAGCAGGAGCTGGTGGCGTGCTCCAAGTTCCTTGCCTACGCGGTGCTGGGCGGCCGCTCTGGGGCGAAGCCGCGCCTCGAGGAAGCCTGCGTCGGGGGCGAGGCCGACGAGAGCGGGCGCAGCCAGAGGGGCCTCCGGGCCCGCTGGCTCCATCCTGGGGGGCGGCCGAGGCAGTCCAAGCAGCGGCAGAAGGGCCAGGGCCCCCCCCGCTTGCGACTGCAGGGCGCCGTGCCCAAGGCCGCCCAGGAGCGCTACATGCAATGTCTCGGCACCCAGGCGGAGGCGGCTGCGCGGGGGCGAGCGCGGCGAGCAGGGCGCCGGCCGCTCGGCGGCGGGCGCGGCAGCTCCAGCGGGCAGGGGGGGGCCTCCTTCAAGCGGCGGCGCGGCGCCTGGGCCAGCAGCCACGCGCCGGGCAGCCTTCGGCGCGGGGCCGTCCGAGGCGGCGGAGATGGCGGCGGCTGCCCAGGGCGCCGCTGAGAGGCGCAGAGCGCTTCGGCGCCTGGAGCGCCGCGGCGCCAGATCCGAGAGCGATTGAAGAAGTGGCGCTGTGGCGAGTAATTGAGTGTGATTTCTTCATGTGTTGCGCCTTTCCATTTTGTGGTGAGATGAACTTCTTGTATTTCGCAGAGTCGTTCCTCGTTTCCAGCTTACTTGCGTTTTCATCCGAGAGGCTGTTGCCTGCTTCTTTAGCTCAGCTGTGTGCTTTCAGTTGCTCATCTTCGTGCTTCGCGCGCCTAGTGGCCGATTGCCTCTGCCCAGAGCTCAGGTGGTTGCCCCTTCGGTTGTTGGTCCCTGAGGCTCGGCCGTTTCCGGGAGGGTCGATGGCCCTGCGTAGGTGGGGGGATTTGGCGTGCTGGGGGGCCCCTCAGTCGCGCCCTTCGGCTGGCCCGCCTCCGCCGCGCCCGGGCCTGAGTAGGCCGCTTCGTTTTTGGATGAGGAAATTCGTTTTTCTTAAGCCTGCAAGGCCCCGACGCATACGCTTGCGCTTGCGGCGGACCAGCGCGGTAGACCAGCGCAGCAGACGAAACTATCCGTGGGCATTTTGGCTTCAAGCCCACGGGGCGCCCGAGGATTGCGACTCGCCCGCGGCCCTCTGAGCGCGAGGGGCTCCGCGCTTTGTGCCAGGTGAAGCTTCTGTTTCGCCGTCTCTCCCAGTGGTGTTTCGGCGCGTCTCGCGCTGCGCGTCGGGCGCCATGCCCCGCTTGGCCCCCCGTGGCAGGGGCGGCGGCGGCAAGTGCTGGATGCGCAGCGGGTGCCGTGGCTGGAGCTGGGGCAGGCGAGGTCGGTGCGTGGTCCGCGGGTCGGCGCCTCCGTGGGCCGAGGTGGCAGGCGGGTCATGCGCGCTGCGCCGACCCTTCAGCCCGAAGTCGACGTCGATGGCTGGGCGGCGCAGCCGCGGGGGCGCCGCGCCCGCCGCCGGGCGCGCGGGGCAGGCAGAGCGGCGCCCCTGGCATCGGGGGCCAGCGACTGCAGGAAGGCCTGTGCTGGGACAGGCGCAGGAAAGGGTGACCCGCCCCCGTCGCGCGCGGGGCCTTCGCAGGTCGAGCGGCCCCAGGCGGTGGTCGAGCAGCTGGAGGCCCTCCGCGCGGCGCCGCCAGAGGGCGTTGCCAGCTGCTTCGCCGATGCGGTGGCCGGCCAGCTTGAGGTCAAGCGCGGCGAGCTGGAGCAGGCCCGCCAGACAGCGTCTGAGGTCAGCTCGGCAGCGCTGCCGAGGGCGGCGCGCATGCGCGAGGAGGTCTGGGCGGTGGCTCGCATCGAGAGGAGGCCCAACGCGGTCCGCAAGTCGGTGGAGGAGAAGCGCGCGGCCCGCGGCGCGGCGGAGGGGCACCTCCAGCGGGCGCAGGAGAAGCTCGCGACCCTCGCGAGCGAGCTATAGAGGCGGCCATCCGTGACCTCCCAGTCCTCGAGGGCGAGGCGCGTGGCGCCGAGGAGGCCGAGGAGCGCCACCGCGCCTTAGATTGGGCTGGGAGCTGTCAGGTGCCAGGGCACCCCACCCAGCTCGACGGTCTCCGCGTGGCCCGGCAGAACAGCACTTTCAAAGCGGCCTGGGCGGCAGTCCTCACGCAGATGGCGGCGGCCCCCGCAGCGCGAGCAGCGGCGCGGGCTGCCGCGGTCCGAAAGCTGCCCCATGGAGGATCTTGGAAGCGAGAGCGAGAACGAGCCTGGCGAGCCAAAGCGCATCGGGGCGCGGGGGCCCAAACCAGCCCCACAGCGCGGCCAGGCCGAGCGCTGGGGCGATGCGACAGGCTGGCCCCAGGTCAGCGCGAACCTCGCCAAGGAGCTGGCGGCTGAGGCTGTGGATGATCGCCCGCTCGTCTGTGGCCCTGCGCGCCTAGAGCGACCGCGGAGCCCGAGAGGGCAGGCGCCGGCGTGCTCGGGCGACCTGGCAGGCCCTCTGGCAGCAGAGTTCGACTGCGGTCGACGCATGAGATGATGGGTGGGGCGCGAGAGGTCGGTCGTCGCGGCCCGTCGCCTGCAAGGGCCAGCAGGAAAGGGGCATCTTGCGGCTGCTGGCGTATTGGGGCCCGAGGAGGCAGCGGGCCTGCAGGCCCTGGGTAGCTGAGCACGACCGTCGCTTCTTCTTGGGCCGAGGGGCGAGAGGCTGCGAGGAGGCTGGTTGGCCCCGCTGCACGGACGTGGCCGTCGCCTTGTCCAGCGGCCGTGGCGCGGGCAGCTTCGTCGGGGACGTCGCCGAGTTCTGTAAGAACCCGCGGCGCGAGGTGCTCTCTGTGGGGTGGCGTCGCCTTTGGCTTCCACCCCCAGAGGGGGGCGGGCGCGCCTCCGCGGGGCTGGCCGGGCCATCGCCGCGTGCGACGGCGACGGCAGCCTAGCTGTAGGCGTGGCGGCGATGGCAGGCCCAGCCGCGGGCCGCAGCATCAGGCCCAGGAGGGGGGGGGGGCGACGCGGCCGCGACAGGCATCGGCGTCGACCGCCCCGAAACCGTGGGCTGGAGCGCCGAGCGCGGGGCGAAGCTGCGCGCGGTGGGCGCCGAGACCTCCAGCCAGCGCCACGCGGGCTCAGCGGCTGTCCGCGGGCAGGGGCGCTGGAGGGGCCCAGTCGCTGTGACGTGGCAGGGTCTGGCTGCCCAGGGCGACGTGGGCCCTCCCGATGGTGGAGCTCGGCGGCTCATCCGCTTCCAGGGGCCAGAGGCAGCCGCCTGCGTCGCGGAGTCCGACGAGCAGTTGCTGAAGCAGCGCCGCATCGACAGGGCGCGCTTGGCCGCCGACGCCGGCGGCGAGCGGGGCCTGGGGGCCGTGGCCTCCAGGCCCCTCGGCCGCGCCCAGAGCTGCGCCTTCGGCGGCGGCGGCGACGAGGGGCAGGGGCCTGGTGCGTCGCGGAGCCCGACGAGCAGGAGTTGAAACGGCGCCGTGCACGCAGCGCGCGCTCGGCAGCCAGCGCAAGTGGCGAGCTGGGCCTGGGGGCGGAGGCCCCCGGCCTCTGCGGCCGCGCCCTGGGCCGCGCGCCTATAGCGGGCGCGGCGGCGAGGAGCGGGGGCGACAGATTGCGCAGGTGCGGCGCCTGCGCGGCCCTCGGGATCGGCGCGCGAGCGAGCGGGGGGGGGGCCGGGCGCCGAGCCGCCTTAGCTGCGTCTCTTCCGCGAGGCGCCCGAGGCGGCGCAGGAGCGCTTCGCGGCGTGGTGCGGCGAGGGGCCAGAAGCGGCAGGCGTGGCCTCGGCGGGCGCGTGGAGCTCGCAGCCAGCCCCTGCAGGCGAGCCAGCTGGTGGATTCGAAGCCGCGGACCTAGCCCTTGGGCGCGCGGCGGCGGCGGCGCCGGGGGGCCCCCGAGGCGGCGCGCCCGAGCGGGGGGCGTGGCGCTTGGAGGGCGGCAGCGCAGTCGAGCGCTGCGGGGTGCGAAGGCGCCTCGCCCGCCAGATCGCGAATTCCGAGAGCGATAGTGACTGGCATTGGGTGATGTCCGCGGCCCTGTCCGTCCCGGCTCCAGTTGCCCGCGTTCTCCGTTGTTGCTCCCCTTGCGTTCGCGCGCCTAAGCTGCGGCGGATCTCCGCCAGGCTGCAGGCGCGTGACGTGCGGGGGCCCAGGGATGTCCGGTGCCCCGAGAACCGTTTGGCCCTCTGTGCCCGTCTGCCCTTGTAGGCCTGGCGTCTCGGGATGCGGCAGTGGCCCTTTTGGTGCTCCCGATGGCCCTGTCCCGCCTGGGGATTGGCGTCGGCGCGTGAGGCCCCAAGTCTTGCCCTGCAACCCGCTGGGTTAAAAAGTTGGGACGGCGGGGTTCGAGAGAGAGAGAGAGAGAGAGAGAGAGAGAGAGAGAGAAATAGAGAAAAAGAGAGACGCTGTTGGCCACCCGTTAGGCCATGGGGCCCAGGACAATGTCGGATTTGATGCCGAAATGGGAGTTTCAGACGCATACCTCACCCCCTTTAATGGGCCGGCGTCTGAAAGTGGCATTCCGCCTAGGACATCCTCAAAAAAGTTTCAGATCGCCTTCCAGGGCGATCTGAAATTCCCCCATGCCGTCTGAAAGTGGCGATTTCGCTTAGGATTTCCTCGCGCAAGGTTTCAGATCGATGTTCATGCCGCCTGAGAGTCGTTTCGCTCATGACGTCCTTAAACGGCACTTTCAGGTTGCCTTCCATGCCGCCAGAAGACAAATATTTCGTGTGCGATGATTTCCATAAATTTGTGCTGCAGAGCTCCGCGCCCTGCGGAGCCGTTCCGTCATTCGGTTCGCGGGCCTGCCTTGGAGGCATCTCGGGGCTCATCGATGGTGGAGGCTCGAGGGCCAGTCGACCGGCGAAACCCGCGGGGATCGCTCTCTCGCATAGTGCCGGTCACAACTTTTTAATCCAGAGGGTGGTAGGTGGCGGACGGCCGGCCCAAAGTGGCCGCCCCCCGTTTTTTTTTTTTTCTTTCTTTCCTTGGGGGGCTCTCCCCTCCCTGGCCTTCGAGGCCCGGACATTCGCGCTCGCATGCGGCGGGCCAGCGCGGCAGACCGTAGCGGCGCGCCGGCGCGGCAGATCACCATGGCAGACAAGCGCGGCGGACCTGCCCGGCTGTCCAGCGCGGCGGACCAGCGCGAGACCGGCGCGGCAGACAGTGCGGCAGACCAGTGCGGCAGAACAACACGGCAAACCAGAGAGCAGACCAGCGCGGCAGACCCGCGCGGCAGACCAGCACGGCAGGCCAGCACGGCTGACCAGCACGAGTGACCAGCATTGCAGACCAGCGTTGCAGACCAGCGCGGGTGACCAGCACGGCAGACAAGCACGGCAGACCAGCGCGGCAGGCCAGCGCGGCAGACCAGCGCGGCTGACCAGCACGGCGGACCGGCACGGCAGACCAGCGCGGCACGCCAGCACGGCAGACCAGCACGGCAGACCAGCGCGGCAGGCCAGCACGGCAGACCAGCACGGCGGACGGGCACGGCTGACCAGCACGGCAGACCAGCACGGCAGACCAGCACGGCAGGCTTCGCGCGGCAGACCAGCATGGCAGGTTGGCGCGGCCGACCAGCACAGCGCCAATTTGGCTTTGGTCGCCGCCTGGCGCGGAGGCCTGCGTGTCCGCGCTGGGCGGCCCGCGGCCGCCGCCCCCCGCGCCCCCCCCCTTTCTCCGCGGCCCCCCCCGGCGGCGGTGGATGGCAGCGCCGCCCTGGCTTGCCGCCGGCGCGTGAGCTCGGCCGCGGCGCGCGGCGGCCCGGCGCCGCGCTCGGGCCAGGAGGGCGCAGGTGCGCGCAGTCCAGTCGCTGCTCCGCGCCTTCGGCGCCCAGCGGCGCGGGGGGTGCCGGCCTGCGCTGGTGGGCCAGGCGCTGGCGGAGGCTCTCGGCGCGAGCCGCCGCTGCCCCGCCGCCTGGTGCAGATGAATGGGGATCTGCGCGTCGATGCGGCTGGCGCCGAGGGCCCCGGCGCCAGGGCCGATGCGGCGGCTGGTGGCGCGCCCGCGGGCGGCGCGGCGGTGGCCCTGCACTCGGCGCCCGTGGAGGGGATCTGGCGCCGCCGCGCGCCTCGGCCTCTCCGTCGTCTTCGTGGGGGGCGACGGCTGCGGAGGCCCGCGTGAACGGCGGGGCGCGACCCCTGGGCCCCGAGTCAGGAGGCAGCGCCTCCCCGCGGCGAGGGGCTAGAGCAGGCCGCGGGCCCCGTTGGAGGCGGCGCGCCGTTTTCCGCCACCTCGTCGTCGAGACCAGCCAGGGGAAGATGCTTGCGCGCGGCGTGCTATCTTCGACTTCGCGCAGGCTTTCCAGCGGCAGGCCCGCGCGCCCCAGCGCCCCAGCGACGCTTCATTCGGGCTTCTGCGGGCTATGGGCGCCGTCGAGGGCGTCGGCGCGGTCGCGCAGTTGCTCGCGTTCCATCGGCAGGGCTCGGACGCCGACCTTCGGATTGAGAGCGTCGCCGCTTCCATGGGTATGCTTCGAGGCCGTTGAAGCGCATCTTTGCTTGTCCTCTGGTGCATGTTCTTTCCGGGGTTTGCTCTGTCAGTGTTCGCGTCTGCGGCTTGCCAATTCGGGCGTCTTCAGGTTTTCCGCTCTCGCGCGCTTCCTGGCTTAGCCAGACGCCGCATTTGTTCGTAAGTGAGCCTTTTCCTGCATATGTTTCTCTCGGGCAGGGCGTGTCGAGGGATTGAGGTGTTGCATCGGCCTGGTAGCTACGCCTATCGGCTTTGGCCCTCTCCCGCCGCCCCTGCGATCCTGTTTTTCTTTTCTTTTTGTTTTTACGGTCCAGACGTGCGCATTCACACTCGGCAAACCAGCACGACAGACCAGCGGCACACCAACGCGGCAGACCAGCACGGCTGACCAGCACGGCCGACCAGCTTCAGCGTCAGCTTCGGCAGGCCAGCATGGCAGACCAGCGCGGCAGACGGGCACGGCAAACGGGCACGGCAGACCAGCACGGCAGGCCAGCACGGCTGACCAACACGGCCGACCAGCACGGCAGACCAGCACGGTGGACCAACAAGGCAGACCAGCACGGCAGACCAGCACGGTTGACCAACACGGCATACCAGCTCATCGGATTAGCGGTGTTTCTGAGAGTTCTCGACGAAACGTTCCATCCTGCTTCGTAGTCACAGCAACGCTTCTCGTTTTTGGCGGATCAGGTTTCTGAGAAGTCGTTGTTCGTTCGAGACATTACCAAAACATCTGGCCCAGACGGGGCTCTGAATCGACGTCGTCTTGGAATCGGTTCCGGATGACTTTCGGACGGCCCAAACGTTTTGGACTGCCCCAGCAGTGCCCAAGAGCGCCCCCCAAACGCCCAAGAAAACCCCAAGACGGCCCAAGATGGCGCTGAGACGGCCCAAGAAAACCCCCGAAGAACCCCACGACGCGCCCAGACAACCCAAGAAGACCCCAGCAACCCACAAGAGGACCAGAGAGGCCCACAAGAAACCCCCAACAGGTTCCAAGACAACCCCGCGCGGCGCCAGGAGTTCCGAGGGTAGCCCGATAGGGTCACCAGGACCCTCTCCTGATTCAGCGTCCTTCTCCATTCCTCTTACTGTCCTCCGTCGTCGTCGTCTTCGTCGTCGTCATCGTCCTCCGCATCCGTCCTCCTACTCGCCCTCGTTCTCTTCGTCCTTGTCCTTCTGCTTTTCTTCGTCCTCGTTGTCCTCATGCTCCTCCTCGCTATCCTCATGTTCTCCACGTCGTCCTGGTCATCTCCTCGTCGCCCTCGCCTTCCTTTTCATCTTCGCCCAGTAACCCCATTGGACTAAAACCGCGCATCCCGCTTTTGTCCGATCTTGTTTCTGAAAGTGGCGGTTTTGCTTAAGACATCCTCAAGAAATCGGCCCCAGAGGGGACTCTGAATCGACATCGTCTTCGAATCGCTCTCGGAGGGTTTTCGAACGGCCCAAATGCCCCGGAGGGCATCAAAAGCACCCAAGAGCGCCTCAGGATGACCCCAAGAGACCCCCAAAAGCGTTCCAGGAGGCACCCACCAAGACGGCCCAAGATATCGCCGAGACGGCCCAAGAAAGCCCCCGAAGAACCCCACGACGCGCCCAGACAACCCAGGAAGACCCCAGAAGCCTACAAAAGGATCCGAGAGGCCTCCAAGAAGCCCCCAACAGGCTCCAAGACAACCCTGCGCGGCGCCAGGAGCCCCCAGCGTAGCCCGATAGGGTCACCAGGACCCTCTCCTGATTCAGCGTCCTTCTCCATTTCTCTTACTGTCCTCCGTCGTCGTCTTCGTCGTCGTCGTCTTCGTCGTCGTCATCGTCCTCCGCATCCGTCCTCCTACTCGCCCTCGTTCTCTTCGTCCTTGTCCTTCTGCTTTTCTTCGTCCTCGTTGTCCTCATGCTCCTCCTCGCTATCCTCACGTTCTCCACGTCGTCCTGGTCATCTCCTCGTCGTCGCCCTCGCCTTCCTTTTTTTCTTCTTCGCCCAGTAACCCCATTGGACTAGGGCCGCGCTTCCCGCTTTTGTCTGACCAGGTTCATTATGGTGGAGGATTCGAAGGGACTCGAGGGCGTTCCCTTCAGTGCTTCGTGGCATGGTGGCGGATATAGTGTCTTCACGTATCGCAAGGGAGGTCCAGTAGTGGCACAGCACGGAATGTAATCCATTGCAGCTCCAATATTACGCCTCCCTGCATGAAGTGCCACAGGTCGTTCAGCATCGTTCGTCCTTGCACATTTGCTCTGAGCTCGTAGCGCTGACGTATGTCTTGCGTTACTTGCAATCCGTTCGACTTCTTCGTGCTTTGCCGCAGGTGAGCAGGACGCCTCCTGAACTTCCGCAGCGGTCTAGAGAGGCATACAAGGACCCAGGGCTTGTGTGCTCACGTGTATGAGTTAGTTAGTTAGCTAGTTAGTTAGTCAGTTTGTTTGTTTGTTTGTCTGTTTGTTTGTTTGTTTGTTTGTTTGTTTGTTTGTTTGTGTGTGTGTGTGTGTGAGCGGCATCCGGGGGATGATGGGCGGAATGCTGTTGCGAGGTTGTGCATGCTCTTGGCCTTCATCATGGGCAATGAAAGCATTGACAAAAACTCACTGCCGATACGGGCCGAGCTCTCTTCGTGAGAGTGCGGGGTCGAGGCTCGCTGCTGCTCGTCCACGGTTCCGCAATAGCTGACACCAGGGGGCCTCTATCAGTTTCTCGAGCAGTTTGTACTGAGGGTTTTAGTTTGTTCTCGAATGGCTCAGCTTCCGTCACCAGGCATTCTGTTGGATCATGGCGGTGCGCGGCATTACTGTTCCCTCTCGGTCTCCCGATGGGTGCACGCCCCACAGGCTGCAGTCTAGATCGTGTACCCCATATGTTCCTCTCGATTCGCGGGGTGCACGTCTGGACCACCCACAGCCCAGTCGTTGTGGGGACTCTTGGGAGCCTCTTGGGGGTCTCTTGGAGGTTTCCTGGGGGCCTCTTGGGGGCCTCTTTGGGCCTCCCGGGGGCTTCTTTGGCCGTCTTGGGGCGGTCTTGCGCCGTCTGGCCCCTTCGGAGGCCGTCTTGGGGCTCTCTTGGGGTCTTCCAGGGCCGTCTTGACGGCCTCTTGGGCCGTCTTGTGGGCCTCTTTCGGGGAAGGGAGGGGGAGGGTTCCCCTCCCCAAAGGGAAAAAGGGGTTGTGGAAGGGGAAAGTGGCCCTTCTTAGACCACCTGTCGCCCAAAGGGCTGGTGGGAATCCATGCCGATACAGAGGGACACTTAAAGAAGCATAGAGCAACATGGAGGTTGGAATGCTCACACTGCTTGGGCCGTCTTGGGAGCCGCTTGGGCCCTCTCGGGGCCATCTTGGGCCGTCATGGGGCCGTCTTGGGCCTTTGGGAAGCTGCATTGAGCCATCTTGAGGCCCCCTTGGACCCCCAGGAGGCCCCAGAGGCCGAAATTTTATATTTTCCGTACGTTTTGGTACGTTTTTGGTCCCCAGAAAGAGGGGTTTGCCACCTCGGTTCTCCGATGTGGCGCGACTCCAGGGGACGCTTAGGGGAGACATCATATTGTACGAGAGTGTAATATGTAGCAACTATGTAAACTTGGATACATTGGACATGTGGCGTCAAGTCGTCCGCCAGACAACGCTGCCGTTCAGCACGTCACCTCTGGACGTGGATGCCTGTCGCTTGGTGGTTTGCCATGCTCGTTTGCCGCGAAGGTCTGCCGTGTCGTTCTGCCCGCCCCGGGGCGCTGCCTGGCAGATGCGCCCACCCCCGTTTCGGCGCCGGGGCGAGCGTGCGAATGTCCACGAGGGGAAAGTGCATTCAGCCCGTGTCAGCACAAGGCAACGCCAAGTTCAAATTTCGATGGGCATGCAACAATGCGCCATTCGTATGCAATTGCACGGGCGTCATGGTGATTTCTTGGGGCCGTTTGGGGGCTTTTTGGGGGCCTCTTGGAGGCTTCTGGGGGGCCTTTGGAGGCTTCTTGGAGGCCTTCTTGGGGCCTCTTGGGTTTTTTTTTTGGTCCTCGTGGGCCGTCTTGGGGCGCCATTGCGCCGTCTGGCCTTTTCGGAGGCCGTCTTTGGGGCCTCGCGGAGCCGCCTTGTGTCTCTCTTGGGCCGTTTTGGGGACCTCTTGAGCCATCTTGGGGCCCTCTAGGGCCGACTTGGGGCCCTCTTGGGGGCCCCTGGGGCTGTGTTTGGGTGGACCCCCAGGCGGCCCCAGAGGCCGATCACACATATATATATATATATATATGCATGCCTGCCTGCCTGCCTGCCTGCCTGCCTGCCTGCCTGCCTGCCTGCCTGCCTGCCTGCATGTATGTATGTATGTATGTATGTATGTATGTATGTATGTATGTATGTATGTATGTTTATATATGTGTGTATATATATATATATGTGTGAGCATATAGATTGTTTTTTCTTCCCCAACGTTTTGGCACATTCTTGGGCCCCAAAGGGGTTTTGCCACCATGGTCCGCCGATGTGGCGCGACGCCAGGGGAGGTTAGGGGGGCTACATACGATAATACGATTCGTAGTACTTAGGCGATATTTTGATGCGTTGGATGCGTTGCATCAATGGCGTTCGCCAAAAGAAGCTGCCGCTCAGCACGTCACCTTCGGACGTGGCCTCCTCTCGCTTCGCGGGGTGCACGTCCGGACCACGTACAGTCCAGTCGTCGTGGGGACTCCTGGAAGCCGCTTGGGAGCTTCTTGGAGGCTTCTTGGGGGCCTCTTGGGGGCCTCTTGGGGGCCGTCTTGGGGGCCGTCTTGGGAGTGTTGGGCCATCGTGGGGAGCTCTTGTGCCGTCTGGCCCCCTTGGAGGCCGTGTTGGGGGCATCTCTGGGCCGCCATGGGGCTCTCAAGGGGTCGTCCTGGGCCGTCTTGAAGGCCCCTCGGACCGTCTTGTGGGCCTCTTTGGGCCATCTTGGGGTGCTAGTGTGCCCTCTTGGGGCTGTGTTGAGGCGTCTTGAAGTCATCTTCAGCCGTCTTGAGGCCCTCTT